TTTGTTTAGACAGGCAACGTTTTCCTCAGAGCTTATTTCAATCCATGATGTCACTCATACTCATGGAAGGTCTTTCACATGCGTGGTCATATCTCACGGGGTGTTAAAAGATAACCTCACTGCAATACAACATGGATACTCCACTCTGGATGTCATTTGACATGCCCATCCTATTGGATATCTTCCTGTTGAGTTCACCAAATGTGAAGCCACACCATCAAATCTTCAAAACAGTATTACAGTCTCTTCCCTATCAGTACTGATTTTCCACATCTAAGTTCAGCAGCACGCACCCCAAACAGGTAGCTCAAACAAAATATACCAGAGGGTTGACTCTGTTCTCTCACTTTTATTATGCAGCTAGGAGGAAGAATACCACCATGCTCTGCTTTTGTCCAGGTTTACCGACTTGCCAGTGAAACATAATACCAAAAAATCTTCACCACATGCTCTTATGACATTATTCTCTCCCAAATTATCAAAAACCTGCCTTTAAATTATTTCTTTCTACAGGTCTCCCATTGTTCACATCTTCTTCCTCTCTGGGATTCCAGACACCACAATAGTTGTTGCACTTCACATTTGTCTCAGCATCAAGCAAACAGGGATTTAAATGAATAAAGGCTAGAGATAATGATAAAGCATAACAGGGTAGAAAGGCAGCAAACCAATCAACTGAACCCCAGAATAGCATCTGCAAAACAGTGTGGCTGCTTCATGCAGAGCATTTGGGTTTTGGTCAGTGGGGAACTGAGGATTTAATCACAATCAATGGCAAATAATGTTCAATTCAACCACACCAAGATGCTAGTCAAAGAGTAAGGACTGATTCTGCAAAGAAGAAAGCCAGAAAGAGGTCCACTGACTTCAGCTGAGCTTTCTGCAAGCACAGAGTTGTCTGCTGTAGCATTTACAAAACTTAACAAAGAACACAAGCAGACTTGGGTTCTTCTTTACCTCTTCCATTGGATGATACTGGGTGTAGACGTAACCTTCTCGGACCTGTTTATGGCTGCTCCTCTCCCTTGGCATGCTCAGATCCGCAAGTTCCTGTACATCAGGTATTAGGACCCTGAGGGGAGGGGAAGGGGAAGATAGAAAACAATCCCTAACAGTTACTGCAGAACTATCATGGTGGCTACACTGTACATTACATCAGCAAACGAAAGGATTTAGCCTGTTCTGTTGTGGATTGCCTGGCAAAATCATCACCATCAGCATTATGGTAACTTTCACGTAAGATAAAGTTCAAAATATTGAGATTTTTCACAGGGTTTTAACAATAATGTAATAATTTTTACAAGATTTTTTAAAAATTTGCTGATTTTCTCCCCCCAAAAGTAAAAAGTTCAATAGTTTTCTTCACCACTTCTATTTCTGAGCAAAACTCTGAAAATACCACCTTTTGGGAAAAAGAAGGGAAAGATAAATTTAAGATTAGTGTTTCGTTGCATTTTATTAAGACATTTTCAATTTGCAAAGACTTCAAGATGTGTTCATTGCAATTGGCAAAAATCAGAACAAAACCCTTATTTCCTTCAAGTAGCTCTTTTTGCTTTTTAACTACAAAATTTGCTCAGTAATTAGTATAACACAGGTGTGATTCCATGATCAAGGGAGTCAATAAAATCGTTTCCTTGGCTTCAGAGGACTTTGGATCACAGGCTGTTCTTTCTCACTGCAATCAGCCCCTTGCTGTAAATCTGTGCTCATTGTAAATACTTGTGATAAGACAATTGCAAGGGTAGCTCAAACACTGTTGATCTCAAATGCTGCAAGTGCTAATGGGCTTTTCTGCTGACAGTAGCTGTGATCGGCATTTCTGTAAACTGCACGTAAGAAATTTTTAAGAGTAGTTACAGCTGACTTTCACTCTGAGCTTTGATGTTTATTCACATCTAAACTTCAAACTAAAATTCAGGGAGGGCAAATTCCCGTGAACTGAACCCACACACACAAAATACCTTATCAGTGCTCTGGAGAATTGAAATCCCAGAGTCTGACACAGTCAGAATATTGATGTCCTGATTATAATTTGCCATTTATGTCTCTATCATTATATACCTGACTGTCATGTTACCTTCTTTGCATGTCAGCTGCCTTCTAAAAGGCATGTCAGCTGCTTTGAATGTATTATAGGAACTTTAACATTGTCATACTCATCTCAACCCCTTTGCAATTTCAGCTTGACTATTAATCTCATCTCTTTCTCTAGAGCCCTGTGTAAGGTGGATAAAGTTCTGGCCCCAATCCAAGGGAAAAAAAAGTTAAGCTGCTAACCAGTTTACTCTTTAATTTTTGACTAGAATCAGTTGAAAACATTAGAAAATGAAGAGTCTTGACACAAAATAACATGTTAAATATCTTCTGGAATATTGTCCTGAATACCTAAACCTGATGCTAGATCATTTGCACTGGCTCCAACCTCATATATCTTCATCTCTGGTCGTCAGGACATCACACTTACTAAAAGAACTCATCAGGCAAGATGCAAGATGTCAAGATCAGCTTTAACTCAAAACAGCTTTGAAGTGACACCAATCCTCAAACTTATCTTTGATTGGTAAATGCCAGTGTATGTCTATAGGCCATTTGTCATCAGCCCTGAATGACTTCAGGATTGTTTATATTAAATATAGCTAAATTAAATTAGCTACTGGTTACCTGAAAGAGTCAGTTCTAAATGGGAACAGGACTGTGTGAGGAATAGATCTTAATTAATCCCATTTGGCTTTATAAACACTCTTTGTATCTGGATTAGATCTTCTGGTTGGAAGTAGAAGCAGGGCAACACATGGCTGGGTAGGTGTGATAAAGCATCACGGGCCATTTGCAGGTCATGGCTCCCAGTTGTGTGCACAGTGGGCATCTGCCACTGGGATCTTTGTCCCAAAATGGGATGTCTCTGTTTGGCTGGATGGTGCCAGGAAATTCTTACCAGCCTAGTGGTGGAGACAGGGGTAGGAAACTGCAGCCTTGAAGAAACTGGATGACTATTCACTTTGAAAGGGCTCTTCTCCAAACCAGAGGAGCAACAAAAGAGAGGGAGGGGAAAAAGAGAGCTAGAAACTTCTCTGCAGTGACACTGATTAAATCTTTGGGGTCTCCAAAATAGGAGAGCATTCAAATATCTATGTTTTCAAGAGCAAAGCATGCTCCTATAAATAGTGGTTGTACCAAGTTTGATTTCCTGACTTTAGACTAAAAAACTGAGTCATACATCTAAGTGCCATCTCTGCCACTGAGAAGGCAACAGCAGGAAACAAGACAAATTGGGCCATCTCAGGTCCCAGCTCCAAATTCACAGTCCAGATTAGTTGGAAGGTGAATAAATAGGGCATAGGGAAATGTGCTTTTAAAACTCGAAGGTTTATATAGCATTGGTGCATTTGGCTGGTCAAGGTAAGTTGCAGGTATTTGGAACAAAGTTTGGGTTCTATTGCCAGTACTTGCTGACTGTTTATTGGAAAAGGCTGGGTCTTTTTTTGATGGCAAGGAAGATTGTTAGAGCCCACCTTTCCCATCAGGATATTAGAGGCTGTACCTGTAAGAGATCATATGCTGATCTAAGCTGTCTTTCACCTCCTGCACCAGAGGGGCTGGGACCCTTATGTGCAGGTCTTCTCCAGCTGTGATGTCTTCAGGCATCAAGGGCTTCCACAAATCCAGCTGTGCAGAGAGAAGAAAGAAATGCAGAAGTGAAGCTCTGTTTTCAGAGTAAGAAAATGTATTTAAGATAGAGTAGCTGCATATCAATAAATGAAAGAGGTTTTCCTTCTCCCCGTAACTCTCCCGTCATCCGTTCATAGAGCACGCAGCACAGGCTTAGTGTTTCTGTTGACTCAGGCACCACTGATAGAGAGCAGCACCTTCACAGAGCCATACAAGGAAACTAACTTCTTCACATAAATTCCTTCGTGTAGTAGAAGACCAATTTTATCCTACACTAAGACCAAAACAAAGTTACGTAAAGCTTTTTCAAGTTTACTGTAACCTTCACTCATGTCCAAAGCTACATGCACACCTGTTTTACAGCCCAAGACCCTACTCTGCTTTTCAGGCACATGTGGTTATTCTTACTCACCAGTAAAGTACTGTGAAGAAGCTGAAGATGCTGGACTTGCTGAAATGTTTCTGGCACAATATGCAAAACCTGATCCCTGGAAATTCAACAAAGAAACAAGATCAATTTTAATGTCTGTTGAAGCATCCATGTTTTCATAAGTCAAAAGGAGATATTTTGTTACTCAGAGGGAATATAGAGCATGTAACTGAGTGTTGTTTCAACAAAAATGTGTCTGAGTGATGAATTCCTGGAGTGTTTTAGCTGCAAATAGGACTAAGTGATGTGAGTTTTCTGTTGCTAGAGCATTAGCCACTCTGCTTCCTTGCTGGTGGCAATCCTTTATTCACCGTACCAGTTTCACTGAAGCCAGCTGCTCACATGAGCCCTGGTGTGTGTTTCTGCCTTTGCAGGACCAGGGCCAAAATGAGAGCATTGGTAATATATGATAATTTATTTGATTAGATGTCACTTCTCTATTTCCTCTCATTGGGATTTGTTCAGTTATGCCAGATTGACTTGATGCTTGGCTGATCTCTTTCAGCATGCAAAAACAAAAGATAGGCAAGACAAATGAACATTGCTTAGAACCTGACATGTCCACAAACTGCTTGTCATGAAAATAGCCAATTTATTCCACAAATAGTGAATACTGTAGTCTCCAGAACTGCATATTCTTACTCAATTCACAGGAAATAAAAATTTCTGGTACAGGATCCATAATTTTATATTTCTAGAAAAGACACACAGATCCAGTGTCTTAGTATCTATTTTCATGAAGCCCCATGACCCTTTCATTTACTACAGGCTTAATCTGACAAAAATATTGGAAGTTTATGAGGAACAAATCAAAATGGTTGGAAATGCAGAAAATAATAAATCTGTATGCTGTATTTAAAAAGTCCTTGTAATTATTTTTCTATTCTTTTTTTCTCAGTGTTTGTTCAGATTGGCTTTCCTGGTTGATAGCAAGTGTGACATTTCTAATGAAAGGGTTTCAGAGTGAGGAGTGGATGTTGATTACTACATTGCATTACTCAAAGGTGAGATAGCACTTATTCACTACTGTTGTGATAGAATGGGGAATCCTAGAAATTTTCCTATTTGTTAGCAACCAACAACTACTGCTTCACAGTCTCATGTAATGGCTTTAATGGACCTTGGGGCCTTTACAGGACAAGTACCAAAAAAAAGAACATTATAAAGACTTTGTAAGAGAAGTTCATGTTGCAAAAGCCTTGCATGGCTTTTTATTAAAGCCATGGTCATTACAGTCTTCAATATGCTCTCATCACCTGAACTGCAACTGCCATCATTTGTGCTTCCATACAGAAATGTACAGTTATCAGCTTAATAGATATGCAAATAGAATTCACTATTCATTCACTTCATCCCCAGAGAAATAGGGGGATTTTTGATTTTTTACATTTTTCCTGAAAATATAACCTTTGTTCATAGAGAACTTGGTAGTTAAAATGGGCCATTTACTACTGGTTTGGGAGATGCTGTTAATCCCTTGTTTGTGGGGCAAAATGATTACATGTCCATTGCTAGTGATTGGTACAACAGCCATGATATCTTTGTAATAAACCTTGTAGATGTAGGATAAACATCTTTGCTAGCAGAATAAACATCTCAGCTGCAGTTCAGAGTTTATTCTCTCTAAATGCCTGGGCTTGCTTTGCTCTTTGTCTATCAGGAAGGGAAACAATATCCTGTAATATCTTTCTATCCTCATTGACATTATGTCTTAATTACACCAAATCAGAGAAATTCCAGACAGTCAGATTGCTGCCAGATGGCCAGCTCTTATTTACTGATAAACCTTTCACAATAGCCAGTGTGGAGACAAATCATTTTTAATAGTAAACTAAGATTAGAAAGCACACATTCGTTTATGATTATGGACTAAGTTTCTCAGTGGAGAAGTGCAAAGTCAGCCCATGTGACCACATGGGAACTACAGTTTTTAAAATGCTATTTAAGCTTTCTTACCAAATTAAAGGGCTGTTCTCAGGACTACCTGTGTTTCCTTGGATTCTCATAGATTAGATATTTCATTTAAGGTGTTGAACAGAGCAAATAACAATGAAAATGGGCTTTACTAATAATTTCATCTTTATGCAAGTGCTGCCCATCCAAAGTCACAATGACCACACGATAGTTATTTTTAAATTCCATGCAAGTACTCAACAGGTTCAGTCCTGGACAGTAATTAGGAACAAAAATGAACACTGCATTACCAAGGATCTGCTGAATTCTATTCACTGAAATCAACAGGCTCTGACTGCATCCCTAATACAAATCTAAAGCTAAATATTATCCAGGGGAAATAACACATTTTAAATAGTGACTCTTTATGTTCTGCTAGAAGATTTTCCAGGAGAGCTGTTGAATGGTTATACGTTGAACTAACTTACTTGCCAGAGGTATTGCTTGGTTTTCTGTCCTTTTTATGACTATATTCTGGGGATATAATTAGTCTAGAACCATTCAGCACTGGACTACTTTCTCTGTTTACTTTAGAAAATTCTCTGTGTAAACTTATACATGGATGGTGGTCTCCACACCGTGCTCGTGTCCCTCCTGAAAATCCCAGCTGCCGCAATGGCAGTGACCTATCATTCCTTGGAAGCTGAAGATGAATGAAACAAAAATAGTTTAGGCAAACAGCATGATTTTACATCACTCATTTTCCGAAGAAGTGGAACTAAGAATGGAAAATACAGCAAAACTAGAGATTTCATACTTTTCAGAAACATTAATCAGTAATAAAAAATGTGATAATCTCATTCTTTGAGTGACGAAAGATTGTCTGGAACAACTTCCTTAGCATTTTTTGGCAATTGTTACAGGTTTCCAACAGGGCTTCACTATCTTTTTCAGGTAACCTAAGCTGTCTTTTATTAATAGATATAATTTTGCTCAGTCATCTCCCTTGCTTTATACTCAGAAAAGACATTTTAGTCCTAGAACATCTTATTTCTGAGTTCATTATGAAAGAGGCTAAGCCAAATGAATTTCAGCTAATGGAAGCAGAGCATCCCGAGGTGCATTTGAGGGCCATTCTGTGGCTCCTACTGCTGCAGCTGTATCTTCGTTGGCTTGGATTTGATTCACTCATTCTTCATTTCTCATCTTTATGTTTTGTTCGCAAATCTTACAAAGCTTACAGCTTAGTAACCCTGTCTCCAGGTTTTCAGTTCATAATTGTTATTATTCTTTCACAGTTCCTGGGAATTTCACTGCATGCACAATTCTTCACGATACCACATTCACACTCACCTGTCATACTGCAATTTCAAGCTGAGTTTTCCAGGAATTAGCATCCCCAGAGAAAAGACGATCCCAAGAGAAAGCCACATCTTTGTGCAAAGCACCGACAGTGCAGGACTAGAGAGGAGGAGGAGGATAGATCTGAACTGAACACTTGATTTGTACAATTATAATATATAACTAGACTTATCCAGGAAGAAATCTGCCCTTGTTGAATCATTAACTTCACTTGTAAATAGTTCTACTTTTTCTCAATTCTTAAAGCTCTCTTCCATACCATAACATAACACCACATAACATAATTAGCAACATTCTCACTGAATCACTTTTTCTAAGAAGTAAGATTTTTCTTTGTGTCAGCTTTCCATCTTTGAAAATGTTATGTGACAAAATTGGTAGTGCAAGGTCCATGTCAACTAGTGAAGATCAGTTTATAAAAATCATGAGGATGGGCAAGAACAAAAGAACAGTGGTAAAAAAAGCTCCATCCTTACTCTCTTTCTTCTTGTGTTTATGTCTTTATGGAACAATTCTTTGACCTTTTAACTGCAATTCTGTCACTTGCCTAACTAAAAAGAGGACATAAAAGAATAGCCAACACTCCTGTAAAAGGGAAAGATGGGAACATCAGAGTCTCATCTAAACCACTTTCATTTGGACCAGATCAGTCTCTGGCCAGAGACTAACAACTCTACACTGTCGTAAAGAGTGTCTCTGTGTTATATACTTAAAACAGTGAGCTGGTTACTGTCTGAAATATTTAATTTCTTGTTAAGTTCATATATCAAGAGTAAACATTTATAGACTACAGTTAAACATACAGCCCAGTTCTTCAGAAAGGAATTGTTTCACTCATCTCTCTTAGATTAAAGCTATCTCATGGTGATTTAATGAAGAAAACCACATGGATTTTGGGTGAACAGAGTCCAGTAAGTCTGTTTGTTTGTGTACACATGCAATGGATATGATTCATCAAAGAATGAAGTCCTCTTACATTTCTAATAAGGCTGTTATCAAGGAAACAGGCAGCAGAACTGCCCCAGTATAAAAGAGGGGCACACTCAAAAGTGTGTTCTCACAAAACCAGGCTGCAGGCAAGAGAATATATTCTTCATAAACCACACCAGACCCTTCCCATTTTATTGCAACACACTATAACCTGCTCAAAAGCCTGAACCTGAAAATGCTGAATATTTCCCTCCATGTAGATTTCCAACCCACAATGACTAATAGAAAAGCTGAAAGAAGTCCAGTTTATGGGATTAGAGACAGCTTCATTTGTGAGGAATCAGAAAAACAAACTCATGTTGGAAGATCATATTGACACTCAGGACACCTGCTCAGATAATCTTTGGTTTTGTTTCCTTTGTCCACTGCTGTGAGGTGGACTAATGTTTTTAAGACTTCACAGTGTTGTCTGTGCCCTTTTAACAGACCTGGCTTTGAAATGGGGTTCAGTCCCTTGACAGGTGCTCAGAACCCAGTAACAAGAGAAATGGAGGCATAAAGAGAAATGGAGCAAATCATGATAAGAACTAAAATTGAACTCCAGACCAAAGCTTACACCTTCAACATCAAAAGCAGAAGCTGTTTATTCTGTAGTGAAAACATTACTCCTATGATGCCAAATAGTTATGAAGATAGATAAGGTCATTTCGCTTAATGGGAATAGAACTCGGGAGAAATGAGAGTTGCTCTAAGTCTTTGATCCAGATTCCTTTAAAATCTAGTTGAGTTTAATAGCCTTTAAATGAATTTAAAGTACAGTGCAAATAATCATGGACATTTCTCTGATTTAAGAAATGGACTTGTTTTGGGATTTCAGCAGAAGATTTGTTCATAAAAGACAATACTTAATTTTGTACTTATGTTCAGCTTGCAAGCAGCACTGCTGATTCAGAATAAAGGCCATTAGAGACATTATTCTGCCACCAATGCAAAATAGTATTTTGGGGTGAACAGTTAGCTTCAACAAGCCTATTGCCCTCTTGAGCATAAATAATGTCTCTCTCAGTAGTAAAGTCTGTTCTTTGGTCAGGTTCTTACTGGCAGCTGCTTATCTTTCTAGCAAATGTGGAAGGCAGCTTAATCCATTTATTCCCTCCTTGGAAACTGTGTGCAAAAAGGCATGCGACTTTCTGGGGGGAGGAAAGGTCATAAACATGTGGCACAAACATGCCATACGAAATTGTGTGGTGTCCTTTCTTCCAAAAAAGTTTACTTTGCACTGTTTCCAATATTCTTCTCAGAACTTCAGAGCGTTTTATTCAGCATCAGTTTAGCCTCTTAACTGCCCTCTTAGAGAAGCAAATATTATTTCCACTACTTAAAAGATTAAGAAAAACAGGGGAAAAGTGGCTTCCCAAGGTGACATAGGAACACTGCTGCAGAGCCAGGAATAGAATTCAGATCTCCTGACTCCCTGTCTGGTGCTTCCTTAAATATATGACCATCTGCTCTCCTGCTGGAAGTATAGATACTATATGCTGACTCCAACAAGCTGGCTGCTAAGCCTGTTAGTTTATCCTCTTTCTATCCCATACTGATATAATCTCAAGCTAAGCTTTTGGCCTGGAGTCAAGTGATTTCCAGCGTTTGAATGATTCGACCTGCTTGTTATTGTTTTAACCTTGTACCACACATATGCTCAGCTATTTGTGACTTATCTGCATACAGTTTGTGTAGCAACAGCCACAAGCTAGAACTGGTTTGTTTAAATATTCCATACTGAAGCATACCACGTGTTTTAAACAACTATCATACAGCAGTGAGTTTGATCCTGGTAGCTGCTACACCCAGATTTCCTACTGAGCTGCATGTAACTTTCAAGGACAAAGACCAAAAAAAATGTACACACTCGTATTTCTCCACAAACATCCATTCATTGTGTTAAGCTTTCTGAG